GAAGATCCAGTCTTCGGTCGTCAGTCTGACGCGCTTGTATCGCTTATAAATGTTTATAGAACAGTCGCCAATATTGAATATATAATAGTGAAGCGCGCGGTCAAGTGTTTTAGTATTAAAAAACTGTGACGTGAGTTGTACTTATCAAAATCCCCAGAATTCGTCGTTACCTTTGTAAGCAACCAACAGCCAGTTTATGAATGGATGAAAGGTACCGTACCAATAATTATTATCATCTTTTAATAAGAATCTCATGCACGGCGTGATTTGCCTAAATAACAAAAGTTGCATCTAGTTAGGTACTTCTATATTAAGTTGTTCAAAAAGTTTTGTACGTTTTTATGAGTCGATTCAGGGCCGTAGCGAAAAGAAAAACCAGGGATGGAGGGAATCCAAAGTTTCCCAACCCCATCAGCAAAATTTCCCAACTTTCGAAAAAATGAAAGCCGAGGGATTAGTTACTACTATAATATATTGATTTTCTTACTTAACTATCCAAAGATTGGCTGAATGCTTAGGCTCGTTAGGTTATGCATAAACAAAAATAAATTGTGGTAATTATAAAAATAATAATGGGAATTATTCTACTTTGGACTAAGGTCCTTCGTCTTCCACCATATCCACCATGTATAGGAATATTCAATACAAATGAAAGGAAACAACACTTGAATAATATTGTGCTTATTGTTTTCTACTATTATTTTTCCTATCTTCACGGCACGAAATTTCCCAACTTTTCCAAGTCAAAAAAACAGCGAAAAGTTGGGAATTTCGTAAAATTGTCACTTAAAATTTTGTGGACTGTTCAAGACTGTTCTCTTACTTGGGAGAAACTAAACTTTTTTGAAGTTTTCAAACAACACAGAATTTCAAAGTATGGCATCTTCAAGTTATGCATGTTGGGAAATCCCGACCTTCTCCTGGTTCTTTCTGTTTTCTCATTACCCCTACTATTATTTTTTTCTATCTTCACGGCCCAAAATTTCTCAACTTTTTTCCCAAGTAGAAAAAGCAGGGGGAGAGGCTCCCCCCCCGTCCTCCCCATGGCGACGGCCCTGAGTCGACTTTAAACTGTAGTATCTCGGTGAATATTTAATCAATTTAATCGTACCACCAACGTAACACAAGTCTATTAATTAGTACTGATTGGCGAAGGTTCCACCAGTTCTCGAAGTGTTTGAAAAAATGGTGGCCGATTGGCGAAATGTCTGAGAAGTATGTTGGGTGAGACAGAACTTTGACGCTCAATTCGTTCAGTTTTCGGACAGTGATTTAAGAAACGTGCGGACGGGCGATGTCGTGAAGCAGGACTGGACCTGCTGTTAACTCAGTTTACGATACATTTCGCCGATTACCTCACAATAAAACTCTGCTGTGATAAATTGCCCCGGTTGCAGAACGTTTAAGTGAATTCCACCAACCGCTGACCACGCATGGTCTTTTTCGGTGTGTTTTCTCCTTCGAAAAGTACCTGGTTGGAGCCATTCCCCAGGTGGCGGATAGGGGAACAACCAGGGGACTGGAGGCCCTGTTCGGGAAGCCAATGTGGCCTTACGGAAGGGGTCGCCGGACTTCTGGTCAGTGGCAGAAATAAATAGGGTGAGGGGAACTTAAACCCCTCAAAAGCCTTTGCAAAACATACCACCGTAGACCAGCCTGCCCAAGCTAAGGTGTAAGGAATCGTGCCGACAGCTGAATGGCTGCAGGGTGATATGCGGTCACGAACGATTCCCTTGGGAAACTGGGCGAAACCTCATTGTAATCAGCCTATCTCTGGTAATGCGGGGCTCTGCTAGAGGTGACCAACTCTTCCCTTGCTACTCGTGGGAACACACATGAATGAAACAACTCAAAAACAGAAACAACAAACACTAAACCCAATCCCGCGGCTGGACAGAAGTGCTCACCTTAATCTAAGGCAGTGGCTGGGGATGAACAGAAATGTCCACCCCAATCTACCGCTTGGAATTCGGCTGGACATATCAGATCACCTCCAACAGCAAGAGCACTTTCTGCGGCGAGTGCCAAGACCTCCACCTTGAATAAAGGCAAGGAACCGGATGCCCCTGCAGAAAAGCTCCATCACTTGTGCACCTACAAGAAGGTTGAAGAAGCCGCGCAACGATAATAATATCGCTGCAGCTTCCAAAACCTTCGCGGAGGCCACCGTAAGACACCTCAAGGTTGCCAAAGAGAGTGTGTGTCCGGCGAGTCTTGGCCCTCACCTGCCAATATAATGGAGATGTCTCCTAGTAACCTGCTGACCTTCCTGGAAAGGACAGGGTGGACGATGACCTAGGAGGACAACTCCTCGGGAGGATGTACAAAGGGTCACATGTGGCCTAAATGCTGTGAGTCTACACTCACCCTCCCTACTCTACAGATACCAGATAAACGTTTATTATTTCAGTATATTCATTCTAATATTACACAAAATATATACCTACCAATAAATGAGTTGCATTCAATACTGGTGATAAGTACAATTCCTCTGTACAATAAATTCATAGCAATCACCCTGTATAAATATTCATTCCTTCAGTTGATCATTTCTTGTTTCAAATTTCATGTCCTTTAAGGTAATCAGATAAGCTCAACTTCGAGACAAAAATGCTAATCTTCAAGGGAAACAAACCAAAATCAAATCAGATCAAAATTTATTCAATTCAGATTAATATAAAATATATACCATCACACCTTATTTTACAGAACTACAAATTACATCTATGAAGTATCTTGGCTATCTAAGCCAAGCTTGTGTTACAGACACGAATCTAATACATTTAGAAACTAAGATAAACCTACTAATTAGTTCTGGGAAGTCCTAAATGGGAAGACCAAAATGATGAACAGTCTTTTAGCATGATAAGAGCATCAAATACGAAAGAAGATACAGAATCAACAGCTTGTGACATTGTATTGAGTGATTGCAGTATAGTGAATTAGTCAACTATCCAGTATTGTTTCCAATCTTACAAAAGGTTCACTTTTTATTCCATTCAAGCCGAAGTTTTGTTTGTCTTTTCCTGAGTAGGTGTTTCAGCTCAACACATTTGTGAATTCTAGGAACCAAAATAGAAAACACAAGTAAATATTATTAATTGTTATCTGGAGGTATAACATACCCACAGCCGTGGTAATATTCGTAATATACCTCGATTTTCACAATGTAATCTAATAAGACCATCCATCATCTACGGTAAGGATCCTTTTATCGGGTAGAAACAAAAGAACATGCCAATTCGACCGAATTCTCCTTCCAGATCTTTTTTTTCCATCCTCAATCTTCCTTATTCTGCCTCCGGCAGCCTACAACAGAAATCATCCTGTAAGGTCATCATTGTTGGAAGGGTGACGTTTATACCACTCCAGGAGTGGGCTATCTTTGGGAATTAGTGCTACTGTTGCTGAACCACTTACAAAGAACCTGGCAGCTCAGCTTGGCTATTCGTATACTCATGGCAAGTCAGATCTTTCCTCATTTATTCGTACCAGACATAGAACCCAGGAACCAAACTGAATCTGCCACAGTCAATAAAGGGTACAACTTGGATGCTGAAGGGAAAACTGTGATGAATTCATTAGTTTGCGACCAACTAAGGTTGCCTACCTTATCACTTTAAACCAAAAGTACACGTCTGGGCCACAAGCTTGTTGTGATCACCTTCACATTCGTCTACATTGTCGAAGAGGATATATTATACAATTCTCAGTTGAAAATTCTTTTACCCAGCACCTCTCTCCGATGAGCCCCGCCATTGAAATTCCAGCTTCAATAATGTAACACCCTTTTTCACTAAGATCGAGGCACGTTACAGCCAACCACTGGTCCTGATTTTCTTCTGTTGTAGAGGATCCACTTTTCATCACACGTGACGATTAAGTCCAAAAAAGGATCGTTTTGGTTGCGCAAAAGCAAAGAAGAACATACCTCGAAACGTGACAATTTCTGGTGCCTCCTGTCGTGCCTTTAAACTCACCTCAGGATAATGTTAGTATTTACCGAGGCTTTGGCTAAATCTTGGTGACACTCTAGAACTAGCCCTGAGGTTACACGTTGTCTGTTCAAGGCTAATAAGGCTTGTCTGCTGACAGTGCAGATTGTTAGTTTTTTTCCAGAAATTCATTTCCTGGTCATTTCTTTTGTGGTGATTGAGACACCAACCAGTTCTGTTTGGACCTGGGTTCAATTGCATCACTGGTTGCTTGCAGCAGAGGTTGCGCAGTAAGCGCTTCTCGCCATAGGCCCAGCCTATGGCGTTTACTCCAGCCCTGCGCAATCGAACCATGGCCATTAATGCCAGAGGACCTTTACGTTAAGGATGTTGCATTAACGAACGAAATTTCGCCAACCAACGTCGAACAGTGCGAAAGTTAACACTATCATTGTCAAATGCTTGGTTATTTTCTTGAGCTTTTTCGGCAGCGCTTCGGTTCAATTTGAAATATGCAAATTTGGAAAAAAGCAGCTCTAATGAATAGAGTACAAAATTCTGTATCGATAACCACGACATAGTAGAATAAATATTTATATATTTATTCATTTATTGAGATATTATGGAGCTTCAAAAACACATTATATTGAAACAGACAAAACTTTTGAAACAACCAGTAAATGATTTATCGCTAGTTCGTTGAACCTAATTGCTCATATATTTTTAAAAATTAACATGTTGAAAAAACATGTACCAAATTCATTGAAGGAGAAAATTAAACCGCGTTTCACACGTCAAAAACTGTATACCAAATGAAAACAACTTAAAACACCACTCATTAGTGATTTTTTAATTCATTCATATTGATATTTTATTCCAGGAAACAATCTGTAATAAAACAAAAAACAAAAGTTGGAAAAAGTCCAGCTTTATGTATAAATTTGAATACCTTAAAAACTGCTCCGTTTATTTATGATTTTGACATCATTTCATATTCGAATATTATTCCGTATCGAATTGGTTTCACGTTTTTTTTTAATATAATCATACTTTTTTTACTTCCAGGCAATAAATGGATTCTAACTACCATTGGCTCATTACCATTGGGCTCGTGACATCTTCAGTCATTGCCGTTACAGCAAATTTTCTCCTACTCGTCATATTTTGCCGAAAACGAAGCCTGCGGACAGTTCCTAATAGGTAAGAATTGGTATTCAGAGTTTTAAATTGTCATTAGAATAATTATATTCAATTTGATGGCAGGAGTATATTAATTACATTCTTTTTTTTTTTCGATTATATCCATTTCATGAAAAAATATCTTCTGAAAATGAAAATGTTTTGGGTCTCTACTTTCCCATCTTTATTATTGTATTTTTTCCTTTCAAAGGAAGGAAAAAAAATTAATTTCTAAATAAACTTTCTATAAAGATGTGTAGATCATGAAGTTGATTTCAAATACAAACAGGAAGACAAAACAATGTCGAAACCGTAAATCACCATAGCGCTTTAAGGATTTTCCTGTAGTGCTTGTGTTTCGACCTTGAAAAAATACTTCCATATGAACATTGAATTACAAGAAAAAACAATATTTTCGAAACAACCACTTTTATATGAACATTGAATGATACAAAAATCAGATTTTCCTTTTCAGTTTGTACTGTACATAGTATGTAAAAGAGACATAAAATTTCACTGTCATAGTCCAGTGGTGGACATCGATGTTTCGGAATGAGACACTTGTCATATTTCCTCATAGCAACAATCTGGATAACATTACAAGTTGAAGTACTCAATTCATTCATATCCGAACGACTTTATGTTTGAATATGGAGAAGTGGAAAGTCAAAACCTTTCTTTCCCAGAAATTGACCTCCTCTAAAAATATACCTCTTTCAAAATTGAACAAGATACCTATGGCTGGGTTTGAATCAAATGAGCGTACTGTCATCGATGCCATGAGTAGATTTAACTCATGGTAGGTCGCGAGGATCTGTTTTGGGTCCTCTACTTTTACTATCTATGTAACTGATATATTGAGAAGATTTAGCACTTCAATCGTTGTCAGTTCAAAATTTTCTAAGCAAAATTCAATATATGTTCGTCGTAGAATCTGATGATGATCTTGATAATATATTTTGATTGTATCTTGAAATTCACTTATCATTTCAATAACCCCTCAAATTTTTCAGCTTGTTCGATTTGATTACCTTGATGAGTATTATCTCGACCAATTCATGAAGTTTAAGCCTACTAAAAACTGATATCTTCCATAATACAATTTTTTGCTATTATTATTTCTTATCATTGGTTCCAACAAACAATGTTACAGACATGATTTCTTTATTTTCGTCAGAGAATAGTGGTTTTTATAGAAGTCCAAATAGTTTAGTTACAAATAATCGCTCCTTATTATTCTTTAATGTATCTGATCCGCACTATTATTTACTAATGTAATCATGTCGCTTGAAATTCTATCTCTAATCTGATCAAAATAAAATTATCTTTGAACTTTAGACATAAACGATTGTAGGTGATATAATTATTTGCATATGTAAGTTTCCTGTTTCACTGTTATTTGGTGGACACAATTTTTGAGATATGAATGGGGTTTGGGAAGTCTCTAATATATACATGGACAATTCTTTGAAAATTTATCCCTGCAAAAAATCAAAATGGTTTTGAGTTCGTGTTTCTTTTCCCACTGGTTTTTCATATTTTTCCTCGTCTCTGAGGGAATTCCAAATAGTTCTTAATCCCAGTCTTGGAATTTGTGTAACTAAAACTAGAAAATTCAGATCATTTATTTAATTCACCTTAAAATAAGTCATACACTACAGAGCCTTTTGGGAAGTCCAAAAGACAAAGTCGAGAATTCGAAAAAGTCTGGAATTTACGAAATTGAATCTAAGGACCGCGATGCAAAATATTATGGACAGACAAAAAGATCTATTAAAGTAAGACATAAGGAAACACATAGCACACTTATAATATGGAAGACCTGAAAAATCAGCAGTCGCCCATCATATTTTGCAACAAAACCATTCCATAGACTTCAGTTCATTAAAATTAGTTAGACAAGTTAACAACAACAGGCAACTAGATGCCTATGAGAGTGTGGAAATGAGTAAACACAATACCTATACCACCTATACCAAAGAGCATACTATATAGCTTGTTATTAAAATAATATTGTTGGGTTTACTGATTATTACATAAAGACATATTGTAAAAATAAATTGAGATAGGCAATACTGTGAAATTAATTTTTATATAGCTGAAAATTGTTTTAGATGCAGCTATAACAGTTCAACATATATTGTAAAATAATAGATAAGGAAAAATTGTGAAATTAATTTAGGTCGGTATACCTGTATGGGTGGTACACCTGGATGGTTTACCTGTATGGGATATCTATATAGCATAAATAGGGTTAGCTTCGCGTTAGTTTCTAGTTTTAATCTTCCTCTTTGAAGATGATCACTTGATGATCGAAACACGTGTCGAGGTGTTAAAAAATAACGATTTGGTGTTGGGAAAAAAAATCCTCCAGTAATATTCACCTTAGCAAACAAAAAATATTAACCTCAAGTAAACCCAGGACTATCCAAATTAGTTTAATTGAAAATGTACGTGCATTTAACCTTATCTGAGAAATACTAGTATCAATATACAGCTACTTCACACGTTTTGGTCGTTTCCTAGAATGCTTTCAACTCAACATTCAAGAGATAATTAGTACTAATAAATTGCGATAAACGTGAATTGTATAAATTGTTTCCGATTTCTAAGAGCTTTAGCTGTCAAGTCTGCCAGCACAAAGTAAATAATGTGTTCGAGTGCATTTTTGTGTTGTAGTTTTTTCAATTCCGTTAGTAGTTTCTTTCATTTTCCTTGGCTTTCAGTAGTATGATTATTGAACTGTCCGGTTGAAAAAACTCGCCACAGTATCTACTCATCAAAGTATCTTCTTCAATGGAGTTCATCACTATCATTTCAAATATTTATTCTCTTTTACAGATTCGTCATCAACCTCCTGATAACCAACTTGTTGTCCAGCATTCTCCTGATTCCGCTGCTCCTGGTCGACCAGGAAACTCACTCCTATCAGGAACTATCGACTCGAATCAATACATCATCAATCACCCAGTTCGACAATGTCATCATACAGGAGGAAATCCACGGTGATCCGACCACAAACACCGTCGAAATCATCGAAACCACCAACGTCATCTCTGGCCTGGTGCCGCCCTCTACAAGCCACAACACTACCAACCTCTTATGCTATTTCGCTCAAAGCACCACCAGTTTCGTTTGCACGGCTTCCATCTTCAGCATCCTTCTCATCGGCATCAATCAGTATTTCGGAGTTATACATTCCTTGAGGTACCACTTCTACATCAACCGGTGCAAGTCGAGCATTCTGATCGGAATCAGTTGGTTCGTTGCACTGTTCTGCGCCATCTTGAGTTCAGTGACGTACAGCGATAGCAGCGTGTGGCATTTTTGTAGGAATCGTCCGCCAGTTAGTGAAACGGTGAAAGTATTGAACACTGTGTACGCTTTCGGTTACTTCTTCCTAGTGATTTTGGCGCCGTTCGTCGCCATCTGTATTATTTACGTGTGCATTTATACGGCTGCGCATCAGAACAGCGAGAGGATGCGCAGATCTGCTTCTGCTCCTCTGAATCCCAATATAGACACCATCCAAGTTTCCATTCCAATTAGTTCTAGTCCTGACAAGGGCAGAGACGCTTTGCCAAAAGTCCACTCTGCTCCCAACCTCTCTACGTTGGAGAAGGAATTTAAGGTAGATGATAGGAATAGGAGCAAAGTGAACAGGACTTCCAGTGATCGCAGTTCGAGTAGTTTTATCAGTACATTGAAACACAAAATTTCTAACGCGTCAGTGTTCAGGTACCGAGAAGAAACTAGAGCAGCCAAAATCAGCGTGCTAGTGATATTTTTGGTATTAGTATGTTACGTCCCGTACGGGATAACCTTAATTCTATGTTCTAAGTGTATCAGGGTGGAAACCAGCCAGATTTTCAACTATCTGTCGCTAGTACTACTGGTATTTTCCAACATAATCTCGCCTTTCTTGTTCGGTTACAGAAACAAAAGGGTTAAAATGGAAATTTGTAAGCTCTTCAGTTTCACAAAGCCAAACTTAGATATCATAAGTAGGCCTAGGAAACCATCCGTCATGAAACAAGTTAACATTGAGGACATCAATGAAGATTTGGAAGATCAACATTCCAATGATCCTTTCATTGACCACCGGGTGGTTCCAGAGGTTGTTGTGACCTGTAAACAAGAAACAGAGAGGAAAAGCATCCTCAAAAGGGTCTGTAATACAAATTGGACGAGTTATAAAAAATGTAATTTTATCACTGTGCCAGATAGTTGTATTAGTGGGGAGGCACGTGGATCGTTCTCCAGCGCAAGTACGCAAATTTCTACCGAAGATTGAAAAACACCACACATCTACCTGAATGAAAGATACAGTTGAATGAAAAGTAACTGTCACAGATGGTAGATGTGCTCTTACAAAGCTCTCAAACATGAGTACCAAACATGACTACGACTGACTACTTTTAATTGTACAAAGATTCGAAGTGCGATGGTGAAGTCCCATTTTATTGTATTTACTAACCCGTTAAAAATATTTACTTTACTCAGATATCCTAACTCGGTAAATAAATATAATAAACGATGGAATGTAAAAAAGACGCTGTGTCATTTCTTTGTATTTAGTTCATAAGTGAAATTTGTATTTGACAGCATTATTTTTTCAATTAAGAAAATAAACTGTTTGATGTAATAGACTGATGCATGTATTAGAGGTAAACGTCTAAGAAATAGTATTTTATATTAAAAATGTTGTGTAAAAGAATCACATTGATTATTATAACGATGAGTTACCTGTTTGACTGTTATATCCAAAAATGATTGTGAATTGATGTATTTGATATGGAGAGTATTTATTGAACTGCTTGCTGTAATGAATAACAGCCTACTTAATGACAAAATAAAATGACAATATAATATTTACTGTTTTTCAATTCCCCCATCTGACTTCTCAATCACCAGAAAATTAAAGTCAAAGAGGTCACAAAAATGAGGGAGTAGGTATACAATCATTTGAAAGGAAGCGTACTCGAATCAACTCCATAGTGATAATGCCAAAAAGTGTGAAGAATCAAAGTTTCAATAGAAAAGGATTGAATTTATGCAATGTGGAATCTGTATATGTGAACCATTGTACATCTCCCGAGGAATTGTCCTCCTTGGTTATCGTCCATCCTGTCCTTTCCAGGAAGGTGGACAGTCACTGGGAGACATCTCGTTTATATCGACAGGTGTAGGCCAAGACTCGCCAAACACACACTCTCTTATTGAGGATAACTCCGGGCACTCACATAGGACATGCCTAACGGTCTCATCTTCCTGTTCACACATCCTGCATAAAAGTGTGTCCACTAGCCCCATATTATGGAGGTGTTTCCTTAGTTGTCAGTAGCCAGTCAGAAATCCTACTGTCAAGCGTAGGTTTTTCCTGGTCATCGCCAGATATTTCTTCGGTGCCAGCTTCTCAGGGTCGCCCAGGGTGATTCTGGCAAGGTTGCATCCTTTGATTCCATCCCATCTCTTTAAGGATTGAGCATGTAACATTTGGTTAGTTCCGCAATTGTCAAAGTCATCAGGCCGTAGGTGCCACTGGGTCCTAAAATTCTTAGTCCAGCCGCTTCCTTGGCTAAAGAGTTCGCAATGCGATTACCTTTACTCCTGTCGTGCCCTTCAACCCACTTCAAGATTATCCACCGAGGCTATGGCTAAATCTCGGTGCCACTCCAGTACTAGTCCTGATGAGGTAACACATCTGTTCAAGGCTAATAGGGCTTGTCTGCTGTCAGTGCAGATTGTTATGTTTTTGACAGAAATTCCTTTCCTGGTTATTTCTTTTGTGGCGATTGATCACGCTGGTATTTTTTCCCATTCCCCACTAAATCCTTAGGCTTAGTGATCTGGAGTACACTCCACATCCTGAGTCTTCTTAGGTTATTGAGCTGTCTGTCTATGCGTATTGTATTCGTAGCATGGGACTCTGTGTTATGTTTTATTTATATTTTGTAGGGTCTATTGAACACAAACCTGGGTTCAATTGCATCACTGGTTGCCTGCAGCAGGGGTTGCGCAGTAAGCGCTTCTCGCCATAGGCCCAGCCTCAATTGACCCATTTCTACTTCGAGGTTTACACCAGCCGTGCACAATCGTAACATGGCCATTAACACAACCTCCTTAACGTACAGATCCAGAGGGGTCAGACCCGCGATTAATTCCTTTGCCGCGGTTGGTTTTGTTCTCATGGCTCCTGTGATGTTTAAACAAGCTAGTCGCTGTATTTGATATAATTTTTAGATGGCTTGTAGAACTTTTGGTCCCCATACAATGGCTCCGTACGTTAACATAGGTCTTATTATTGCAGTGTAGATCCAGGTGACCACACGGGGTGAAAGACCCCATGCGCAATGTGGAAATCACCATGAGAATTGAAAATGCGGGAAAACTGAAGAAAGTAAAAAGTAATTGAGATCGAAACAAATGAGGTGTCTAGAACAAACACAAAGGTTCCCTTCAGTTACAAACTTTTTTGTAGAAAATAGACTTTAGGAAACTTTAGCAGTAACTTTGATTTTGATAAAGGTGTTCCTGTGGAAAGGCAAAATACCTCAAAATATACATGTACTCAGTTAAATGTGATCATTTCTTTCAAACCCAACATGGGGAACATGTGAAAAGTGTATGTAGAAAGGATTTCAAAAAAGTTCAAAATGAGAATCTCTGAACATTGAAGAAGTTTTCAACTGAAGAAAACCAATTCCACCATGCGTGCCACCTTTTGGAGAACGATCAATTTTCAACACAATGTACGACTCACTCCATGTATATGGTCTCCCAACAGAGACTTTCGAAAGTTGATAATTGATAACGGATATCTTGTTGAAGCTACATCTATCAAATTAGTTGTCATTTACCCAGTCTGTTTTGCTAAATTACGGATTTAGCAGTCAACAACACGTGCAATTGTTTTATCAATTTATCTGTTTGGGCAACGTACCGCGCGCTTGGCCCATTTCACGGTCTCCATAATCGTCCTATCAAGAGGAATGATCGCAATGTGGTGGATAAATTTGAGTCCACTGGTTCAATAAACAATCGACCAACCCCTTTACGTGGACGAAACGCAAGATCTGCCGATAGCCAACCAGCATTACAAGTTTTGAACTGAAGCAGACAATCCAGTTCACAACAACTAGCATTAATGGTCATATAACCGAAATTATAATTGGAATGTAGACTTTGTTGCATATCTACAACAAGAGTTAATCACAGAAATATTCATTTCAGTTGTTTTGATAACTCTGATAAGGCGGCGCCGTTTTTGTTAACTAACCGTCAAAAGGTCATCAGTTTACCTAAAATTCTTACTCTTCTTTTTCAAGCGGATATCCAACTGAGCATCCGTTGGAAGATATAATTTTCCATTACTATAAGGCTAATGACTATTTTTCAGATAGGTCTCCATTTAAAAGAAAATTTTAAACTACACTATACTAATAATCATTATATATATATATATATATATATATATATAGACCAAGGTTGAGTGAAAGAACTACTCAGTAGCACTTGTAATATCTGAGTTGAACTTTGCTTTTTGTTAAATCAGCAACTAGCTCTGTGATTTATTTAAATATTTGTATGTAACTACAGCGCGTAGTGTGCGCTGGTCAGGCCCTATCACCCGAAGCCCCGATACATTCGGGAGGGCGCGCCAGCATTATCAACCAATGACCACTCCCCACACCGTGGGGAAGTGATCATTGGGTGCGAGAGTCATGTGCCCTGAGCAAGCGCAGTGAGCCAAGAATGACAGCCTTCTGCATCTGTGCGGCTAAGATGTCTGCCTTAGTGCGGCAAGCCGGCATGATTTCAAGATCCGAGAGTAGAGAGGACATCATTCCACCAAGGACTCCAATAATCAGAACAACCATATTGACAGAGTGATCTGGATAGAGTTTGCGGAGTTCGAAGAGAAAATCTCAATATTTTATCCGTTTTTCCTCCTCTTTTCTGACGATATTCGTCTCGCCAGGAGATGAAAACTCCACGACAAATATCGTTTTGCTCTGGTGGTCGAGAAGGACTACAGGAGGCTTATTAGCTTGTCTGAGCCTGAGGGTAGGGAACGAATAGTTCCAATAAATTCGGCACTTCTTGTTACCCACAACTGATTCAATATCCCCCGGAGCGTAGGGCAACACCGGTGTCTCGTCAAGAGTACCGTAAATGGTAATATAGCACCCTTAGGGCCGCGTTATGTCGATGGATATAGGCCAAAACCGCATATGCTGAACATGCCGATAGCAAGTGCTTGGGCACCTCGCGGCAGGCCCTGCACCTTGTGTCAGGAACTGCGGTAGACTAAGGTGTTAAAGACACCATCCTGGCAAACCATAATGAACCCCTCAGTTTTCGACTTCAGCCCACTCGACCTGAGAAAAGCGAACGTCAGACGCTTTGATAAGCCAAGGTCTCCAATGTTATTGAAGAAGACCCCATACATTGGCTTATCCTTGTGTTTCCGCAGAAGTAAGGTGATCTCTGCGGATTTTATCTGAGCTTTTTGCTGAACGGATTCCAACTCGGTGACAGAGTTGTGGTCACCTCGTTCAGAGTCGAAAAATATATCGAGTTCATCAGCTGCTCGGGCAGCTGCCCTAAAGAGAAATGCTCCAATTCCTACTCTCTCATGGTCACGGACCATACAGAGAAGGGGATCCGAACTCCTGACGACGTTACAGGCTGTATCCAGTACCATTCTGTCATGTAGACACTCCAAACTCAAAAGTCTACAGCCTCCTGTTGTCGGGGGAAGTACAACCGTGGAACGGACGATTTGGAATGCAAACTCCTATAGAGATGCAGCATTTTTCGGGTCTTCACGTTGAGTTTACTCCCGAGTCCACTTCACTACTCCAAAAGAGTAGAGTAAGATTGGAACGAGAAGCATATTTGTTGCAGCAACTTTGTTCTTCCCCGACAGTTCCGATGACCAGATCTGTCGAAGTTTGTGCTGATACTTGCCGCTGATACTTGATACTTCGCTGCTGTTATCTCTTGTGAGTGGCGTTGTTCCACCCCGAGGTAAGTACACGTCTCTCCGGCATCCAGATGGTGTAGGATGCTTCCATCTACGAGCTACACATCCTCTCCCTAGTCCCCGCATCGTCCTCTTTTCAGATGGACCATTGCAAATTTGTCTATCCCGAATTTCATACCGATAGCACGCGTGTACTCCACCCTCAAGGACTGATGGAGATCTTTCTCTCCAGAAGCATAAAGTTTAAGATCATCCATATAAAACAAATGGTTGACCTTGTGCCTCCGGTTTCCGGGGGTGCCACAGTTATACCCTCGAGTATTTCTGATTATTATTATTATTATTATCATTATTATATCTGCCGAAATTTCGGTTGGACATTTCAACTTATTTTCATAATTTTTATATTAGTTTTTGCATTAAACTTTTGTGAAATGACCTACACGTATGAGGTACCGTATAAGTCGCCAGAATGTGGTAGTGATGTCGCAGAGATGTACTTTTGTCCAACTCCTTTGAGAACATCACAGGACAACATTAACGTTGCAACAAATTTTTTTTTGCAACAAGTTTTCTTGTAAATTGTTGATACTCAACATATCATCGGAAAATTTGTATCAGTTTAACTTCATTGTGGACTTTGTATAGTGTGTTGCTGTACAAGTCACAAATGAATCTGCATCTGACCAAAAGTTTGTTTAATAATCAGAAATCGAAAGATAAGACCTCATTAATCCTTAGCCCGCACAGGTTTCGACTTCTGAGGGTTGTTGTTCGTGAGAGGCGACAGCTGGGTAACGGAAAAACATATTTTTTTCAAACAGAGATTGAAAGAACTATTGTGGTTTCAGTAATTTGAAACGGAGAGCTAATATGGCAAGATGAGAATATTTACAAATATTATTTGATGATATTATATACAATTTCTTGGTACTCACCCACTTTTGGGATAAATACTGTAATTCTCAATAAATTTCGGTATATTTGGCTATGTTATGTTATCGACATAAGTAGATGACATGTAACAAAAAATACAGCCTGCCTAGAACCGTAAAAGTTTGGTTATGGTTCATGATTAATTGCGATTTTAGTTTTCTGATTCCGACCTACTTCATGTCCAAACAATTTTTAAGCTTTTATATCCATCCGCTTTTTTTTCAAAAGCAGTTTTAAAACATGCTGTAACTCAAAAACGATGATCTGTTTAAATCTGTTTAAAATCTGTTTTTCTGTTAACCAGCTGTCGCACCCCTACGAACGACAACCCTCAGCAGTCGAAACTTGTGCGAGCTAAGGATTAACGAAGTCTTACCTTTTAACGTGTGATTGATAGATATCGATATGCGGTTTTCATCATTGAGTTTGTAATAAAATGTAACCCCCAGACACAGTTATTAGTTTTCATCTATCTAGTTTGAAAACAGGAGTTTCCCTTTTAAAGTGCCCAGTTTGGCCTACTCTCTACATTTCCATTTTGAATTTTCGGTAAATATTAAAACTGGAATCTCCAACATTCGAACTCTAAAGTATGCTTATCAGTCTTGGAATAACATTGCATAATACAAAACATGTATTTAACATTTTATCTGTTCCACGAAACTTGTTATTCTGTTCATATTGAACTTGGCCAGCAACATGGAAGCCGTGAGATTCACAGAAAAAAATCTGAAACTGGAATTGGTACAAATTCCTATTCCACAGGTGGCCACACCAACAGATGTCCTGATCAAAGTGGCGTTTTCTGGAATTTGTGGAACTGATCTGCATATAATACAGGTATTTTAATTCACACCTAATGACTGTAAATGAATCATAGGTTTAAGAGTAATCGCCAACTGTCAATATTTGGATTGAAACACGTTTCGATGTGTTAAAAATAACGGTTTCGTGTTAAACTCCAGTAATGTTCATCATCGTCTTCGTTCAATCGATTCGGAGTTACAGTAGCAGGTTCAGTAACTTATTCTGAGGTGGAAAAATGATTTTTCCATATATCCAGTGCCTATGTAACTATGTAACAAGGTCAGACAAAATTTTTGTTCAGCCTAGTACTACTAATGGGGCCTATGGTAGTTCTCTGTTTTCCCATAGATGGTGTCTTTGTAAAGGAAGATGGTATCTCAATCGCTCTTACTCAAAATTGCGACTTTCAACTCAAAATTTCGACTTTAATCTTGAAATTTCGATGTTAATCTCGAAATTTCGACTTCAATTTCGAAATGTGATGGATTAATTTGAGTCCACTGATTCAGTAAACGATCGACTAACACTCGTACGTCGACGAAACGTAAAATCTGTCGAAAACAGTACCGCTGTCTGTGAGAGGATGCAGGAGAATCCAGGGCAGTAGATTTCGCGTCGCTCACAAAAACTCGGCCTTTCGCAGATCACAACTTGGCGAATTTTGCGTCGTGGCTTGGGCACAGTATAGTTATATACAGTAGTCCCACTTGGCGTCGGTCCCTTTGATGTTGGTGTCCAGGAGTTTCAGTTTTTACAATGCTGAAGTATTTGACACTAATGACATTTCTGCCTACTACAATCTCAACCAGAGCGTCTAAACACTGCTCAACATAACAACTATTCATATAAACTGCTCAAAAAAATACAGTCGATGAAAACCATGTTGGGCACCTGAGAAAATTGTACAAATGATAATTTTGCATTTGTGTAATATTAATATTAAAAATTCATGGGATCAGCAGGTGCTCATATTCGGATGTGACAAAATATATTTTCATTTCAACATGAAAAAAGACAAGATGAAGAACGAGTTTTGTTATTCATGAACCATGATACGAATCCATGCGAAATTTTTTTGTAGTGATTTTTGGGGCCAAATATAGCATATTGAGAATTCAATTATTGAAAATATTTCTAATCGAATTCATCACTCAAGATTCAAGAATCTGGAGAGCATATTCTTTTTGAATTATGTAGGAGTTGGAGAAGTAAACAAGTAATTGTGTAGTGTTCAATCATAAGAAAATAATTTTTTTTATGTATGTACTAACTATAAATGTATGTGAGAGTTTTCGGAGTCGGAAGTTATGAATTAATAGATTGTTTTGCTATTTTCAGCTTTTACCCAAGAATTTACAATAAAATCACTGACAAGCCTAAATGCATTTTGACTATACCTTTATATGTGTTTTCTGACAGAAAACAACTACTTCTTTAGCTAATAACTCGACATATATTGAAAAATGTACACTTGATATTGGAATCTATACAAGTGTAGATGTCTAATCAACCCCGAAAAGTTGCTGCGTTGATTAAAAACAGTTATTCTAAATGAAACATGTCCTATTAGTCAGCAACTTCTTATGTAATGTAAATTTGACTATCAAAAATACCTTACGACTGTTAACGTGTCGGAATCCAAGTCTCCTCAGACATGATTGCAAAGATTCTCACTTTAGAGAAACAACTTTGCAAGAGCTCTCTAGGACAAATAGTGGGACTTCGCTTGATTCGAACAAGGAATCAACTGCGGACCGTTTTGAAGTGTTCCTCATCAGTACAGACCATGCTTTCACGGTTGTATACACACAGGGACTCGGTGTTCCTTCTAGAGAGTTCTTCCAGAATTATTCCTTCAAAGAAAGTATCTTTGCACAAATATATCCGAGATTTAATTCAACGTCTAATCATTGGAGTTATCACAAACAAAATCATCACCATTTTCAAATGCTGAACACTCTTCATGACACCCCTGAATACAAATACGACATTGTATCCAGTTTTCCGTTGGCTGATCATTTCACCACAGAAAATGCACCTCACATCATCAAATTTCTTTACTCCCTTCATCTTTTGCAGTCTTATGTTTTGTAGCAGAGATTTTTGATTTAACAGTCTTTTTGTTAGTAGTCTTTTTAACAGTCTTCTAAGAAGCTTTAGTCAAAACATCGTCTAGTAACTTCATGAAAGTCTTTCTTGCTTTTTCAAATATTTGTTTCTGATCTTCCTTTACTGGAGTACTTGTTATTGGTTTAGTAGACTGAAGACTCGAAAAAAGTGGAAGAAATCCACCATTTGCGTTACAACAGTCAATGACAGCTGTCAACTGTCCGTGTTCTGCGCTTGTAATCATGCCCACTTATTTTCTTCCCTTTATAGAGAGAACCTCTGGAGGCTTATTTGAGGTCGTATACATACCGGCTTCATCCGTATTATATAGTCTTGAGGCTTCAATGTTATATTTCTTCAGTCAGTCTTCTCCTGCTTTGTTATGTTTATTTCAGCTCTCAGGATACTGTAAATGGATGCGTTTTGCATATTTAAATGCTAGACTTATGAATTTATCCCTAGTAAGGACAAAAAACACTGCGTTCATATCTTGTAGATAGGTCACCATTTCATTTTCTTGAACCTCCGTGAATATAGGACGGAATCAACCTAACTGTGGAGAAGAAATCCCACTTTTAACATGTAGATATAGTGTAGCATGAACTAGCCCGTAATTTTTGCCGCCCCTTTAATCTACTCTTCCGGCAAACACAAATTTATAGCGGCCTGCATGTTTTCTTTACTCTAGGATCCTTGTGTTGTCTTTTCTTATATTTCTACACCATCTGCAATGAAAAAAAACGCTATAAAGTGCATAATTCCATTAAACTTCCATATACTGGCTAAGAAACTTAGTGCAATTGGAATTCGAGGCAAATTTCTATCTTGGATTATGTCTCACATGAAATTTCAAAAGATGTACGTAGGATGGGATACTGCAAACTCGAATACTTATGACTTGGAAGTTGGAGTTCCACAAGGCTCAGTCTTGGGGCCATTATTGTTTTTACTATACATATAAATGATTTACCACAACACTACTATCACGGCACTACTTCGATAGTTATTTTTGCCGATGATACTTCTATTTCCGCAGAAACCTACAGTCCTTTGGAACTTCAAGAAAAATTGAATGTAATAAGTCAGAATTTCTCAAAGTGGTGTCAAAGAAATATACTTATGGTCAATGCAGAAAAAACAGTATTAATACAGTTTTCTCCAAGAAAATCTGTGGAACATCCCATACACGTTATTATAAATATCACGAATATATACCCTTCAGAATCCACAAAGTTTTTAGGATTCACATCGACCACTCATTGAATTGGCAATTTCAAGTCGACTACGTGAGTAAAAGACTCAATAGCAGTTTCTATGCCTTAATGCAGCTTAAAAAAATACTGAGTGAAGAACAACTGTTAGATGTTTACTATGCTCTTGTGAATTCTGTTCTATCTTATAATGTGATCTTATGGGGAGACGCAACAAATATCAACATGGTATGCTTCACAGTCTACGTCATACTGATTCATGTAGACCTGTTTTCAAGCAAAGGAAGATATTAACAGTACCTTCTCCCTATATTTATAACTGTCTGCTCTTTGTGAAAAAACGCGAACTCGAATTAAAAATGTCATAATTACGCAACAAGGAACAAGGAACTAGAACATTATATTTTGTTCAATTACAGGGAGAATTTCCATGCAACCGGGACACAACATTTACACTTGGCCACGAGTTCTGTGGTACAGTTACAGATATTGGATCAGCTGTTACGACTCTCCAGAAAGGCGACAGAGTTGCAGTTAACCCAAATTCGTAAGAATATCATAGCATTTCCGCTAACACAGTGACAAACAATTTTTTTCAGTTCCTGTATGTGCTGTCATTTCTGTTGGTCTGGAAAGCCTCAATTATGTCCCACGGGAGGAATAAGAAACACAATTGGAATCTTTCGAAATGGTGGATGGGCCAATTATGCCTTAGTACCGGTTGACCAAGTTCTCAAATTGAAGGACAATATCACTTTGGAACAGGGTAAGTATTATATTATTCTGAAATTCAAAAAGGTTGTCATTAATTTCATATAAGAAACAAAAATTACGAAGTTATTCGGCTTTTTCTTATTTTGTAAAGTTTAATATGGAATTCAAAATTAAAACAAGATAATACAAATCGGTTGCAATATTTGCTATCAAACTTATCATAAATATATGCCTGAAAACATCAACTGTACCCAATAAAAAATTACAGACCAATCTCTATCATATGCAACTTTTGTAAAGGGTTTGAGATGCTTCTGTACTATTTTACAGAGAATTCAGCCAAATAAAAAGTTTTTCTCCAAAAAAGTGTAAGTCAAAGAAAACATCGAAGAAATGAAATTAAAAGTGGTGGCTTATTTTGAAGCAAATCGTGATTACTTGACAGCCAGTGGGCTGTGTTTGAAAACATTTTGGAAGAATGATGTTCAAATACAACCTCTTCAGTTTATTTTGCCTGGTGAACAAAAAAAAAACGAATGACATTTCATCGCAAATCCTGATTTCCTAAGATTCATTCTGTAATGCGACGAATCTAATTTTAGCAATCGGGACATGTGGTAATGAGAATCAGATGCGAAATATTCCTCATGATACGTTTGGTGTGGTCTTATTTGGTCAAGAATCATTGGACCAATTTTTTTTATAATTTCACTTCAGCAGGTCTCTGGGGTTTCTTAGAATCAAAAGAGTTTTTTCATTTCCTCGATTTAGCTGACCGCGTCGAGCGCGTAGGGGAGGACCAGAGGATCAGTTTGTTGGCCTTCCAGTTCTCCGGACTTTACACCCATGGTTTTTATTTATGATGATTTTTAGAGAACGAGTTTTATAAAAAGTGCTACGATAGTATCGATGATTCTCAGCGACAACGAACACTATAGTAGCATCAATGGTCGTACCGTTTCAGAGGCTACAAGACAGGTTTTTGAGTATGCCCAAAACTGTATTTAGCAAGCAGGAGATGTATTCGAATAGTAATTTAACTTTTTTCAATGTTATATCTGTCTTATATCATTCAGAATTCAATAATTAACTTCGTATACTCATATATCTGAAAACACGATAATGGTACGATGATCACTTGTTTATTTTTCAGCTGCCTTGACAGAACCTTTATCTTGTCTGGCTCACGGATGGAATATAATTAGTCCTGTAACGGTGGGGATGAAAATACTAGTTACTGGCGCTGGTATCATTGGAAACCTGTGGTTGTGCGTACTTCATTTACAGGGACATAGAAATGTGACAGTATCGGAACCAAACCTTGCTAGACTGGAGTTGATCAAAAAGTTGAGTAAGTAGATTCTGTTTACCGACCATAATCCTGTTTTGATCAGGCAGTACTGTCTGAAACAGGTCTTTGTGAGATGGACTCTGCTGGTTGTATTACCCCCCTAGAGAGTAGATGGATATCGAGGTTACGACTCCAACTGACCTCTCTGTGAATTTAGATCAGGAGCGAGAGCTTCTCAACTCTCCGACTCCTGATCCAATAACTGAACCTAAGAAAAGGTTTAGTGGTGCAGCCAGGAAACGACCGAATCGTCTCCTCTAGAGCGGTGTACCTTATGAAACCGTCTTGCACCAAATTCTTGAGCGGCGTACGCAGAATCTGTCTCAAGTGGAGAAACAAACCCCCCATGATCAGGTTAGCAAACGTTTGCGCTCAAGTGATGATTCACCAAAAGCAGAAGCGAAAAAAGCCCTGCACAGTTGAATCTAAGGCATCGTCAGGTGTACCTGACGTACAAAAACCCTCATATGGGAAGGTTGTCACGGGTATCAAGGTGGGTATCTTGCACCTTGACTATCCGACTATCTCATTAATGATGAAACAGCAGAGCATAAACTTTGTGCCTGCCCCGTTGGGGACAGAATCAGATTTTTAAAGTTCGGCAGAGCCGTACTCTTACCGTCTAACCTGAAAGATCACTCACCATACAAACTAATCGGCTTCGTTAAGAAGCTGGGTTTATATGGTCGAGTTTGAATAGGTGTGAGCCACAATAAACCCTTGCGGGTTGCGGTGGAGGGTCTAATAGACCCACTCACTTTGGACCTAACCTAACCTAACTGTCTGAAACAGTGAAAGATGAGAATGAAAGGTATAGCTTCCCAAAACTTCAGGAAATCACACATTGAAGTAAGTTTTATGAACTCGTCATCAAGAATATATAAAACTTTGTATGACAGAAAACTTTCAACTTGTATCTTTGTTGATCTGGCTGAAGCATTCGACTAGTGAGTCACGTGGATTCAAACAAATTGGTTTCAAAGGAATATGTTTCAAATTGATGTGGAAGAAAACAATGTGTTAAAGTCAATGGTTAAAACAGTAACCTTGAAAAAGTTATCTGTGGAATACCACAAGGAACGATATTAGGGCCTCTTTTATTTCCCATTCATATCAATGAGCTCTTCAACTTAACATCTGAAGGAGACATAATTAGTTTCGATGTTGTTACTTACCGTTAATGAATCAAAAACTCATTTTATGCTTCACAAAATTCAGGTACTCCTCGGAAAAAATATTCCTTGTCAGTTATATTGCCAAATAATCTTCATTCAACCCAAACAAAATATAATACATGCTCATCGAACAAGTTATATATTGATGAGACTCAGAGATTATGCCAAGAGCAAACAAAACAAACAAAACAGTACGAGTAGTATAGAGACATTATAATTTTTTGAGTTCAGGAATTTTTAATGCTCTGTCCTCAAAAATATCTTTGGGAAACCAGGAAACCAAGACTGACAATAAATAATAAAATGGAAGATTAAAAAATAGGCATGATCATCTGCGGGACATACATTAAATAAAGAATATATTTCTAAGTTCTAGCTAGTCTCCATGACTATAATTGTGGAAAAACAAGTGGTGGATTCTTCATCAGGACAATTCTCTGATTGTTGAGTCATTTTTTCCCAAGCATAGAATTCCTATTGATATTTCCACATCCACCCTACATACCACATCTAGCTCTGCATGACTTTTTTATATACCCGTAGGTGGAGGAAGCACTGAAAAGAACCACGTGTGATACAGTGGAAGCTATGAAGGAGAAATAATTCAAAACACTGTTTCGAATAGTGTATTTATCACTCTGTTCATCGATTACATATAATTATTATTTAACGGCTGTATCGCCTTTATACTATTGTATTACCTTCATATCATTATATGAATGTTGAATGAGATGAGTGAAATATATTATTATTGTTTAACTACAAAAGCTGAGGATTCAGCAACACATTATGTCTTTCATCAATAAATGCTTCTTGTTTGATTTCAGATACAGGTTTCACACTATTAACACCAGATCAGCTCAAGAAGAACCAGGCTGCAGATCCTAATTATTTGTTTGATCTTGTTATTGATTGTAGTGGCTATGCCCCAGCTATAGAACACGCTGTTACTCTGTTAGAAAGAGGTGGAAAACTATGTTGCTTCGGGGTAGCGCCACCCCACGCTGAAATCAAGTAAGATTCAAATATACAGGGTTGAGCCCAATTTTGATAAGTTCCTCAATGAATGCTTGTAAATTTATTCCGAATTGATTCACATGAAACATATTCACTGATGAGGTGCAAGGTGGGTTTATTTCCTATAAACTGTTTTTTCATCCTTTCTGATGTCACGATTCGTTTCAAATTCATTGATTATTGAATCAAGCATTATTTCTCTGCGGTAATTATGGAAAAATTAACAATTAAACGATTACATAACCAATTAACGAGTGTTGCCTTCTCTAGCTTGGACAATAGCATTCCACAAAGCTCGAAAATCATCTCTGCCCCCCACTGTTTTTCGAAAAACGCATTTCAAGTGGGCGGGACAAAATCAAAATTTAGAATGCTCTTCCTACAATTGACAAGCTTTAGTGTGATTTGTGAGAGGTACTAGAGCATTTGTCCTCAGATTTACGAGCATTATAATTTTTTAGGCATCACAGAAAATATATTGAGGTACTTATTTTTTTGAATTGATTGCTCATACCATTCTGGTAATTTGGATCAGGGACACATTTCCAAAAAAATGCCCGATCCAGATTGTCAGGTTTCATTTTTTGTATCATTTCCATTTCATTCAAGTTTTCCCATACCTGATGGCTGTATGTTAAGAAAAATTTCCTTCTAAACCAATGTTCTTCCCTGTGTATGATCTCAGCTTGGGTTGGGTCCAAACATGCTATGCTATTCCTGATTTGCTGGTTTCCCTTTCGCTGTGTGTGTTTCTTGTGCTCGGCAATGCGAACATTCAATGGCCTCTTGGTTTCACCAATATAGGATTTTCCGCACTCACAGGGTATCCGGTAACTTTCGATTGATGCAGTAGGGTCCCGTACGATCTTTGTGTATCGTCCCTTTTGAAGAATCTCTTCGATCTTCTCTTCGTAGAGAACGGTATCCATTACCACAGTGGCGTTTCCTTTATCTGCAGGTAGGATCTTGATTGTTGTTGTTGTTGTCTCTACGTAGGCCGTTCAGAGCTCTACGTTCTTCATTGCTGATGTTAGATGTTGGAACTGTTTCTCAATCCAGCTGTTCTCTAATTTTCCATCTGAACTCTTCTGCCTCGGTCTGGTCAATAAGGGAACTGGTGGATTTCAGTGCAGTAATTATCTCCAAAGTGGGCACAGATGTTGGCGTAATGGCGAAATTCAGGCCTTTCCTCAACAAGGATTCCTCTATTCCCGTGAGCGGGCGGGAACTCATGTTGATGACGTTGGCGGCTTCATAGTTGTCCTGTTTTCGGTCTGTATTTGGGCATTGTTTCCTCACTAACTTCCCCCACTTTCTGTTGTGGGTATTCTCCATGTCTTGGCGGATCTTCAAGCACGTGCTTTCAATCTTGGCAAAGATTAGTCCATGATCATCTTCCAATGTCTCTCTTCTTATCTCTTCAAATCGTTTCGTGGCATCCTGCAACAAAGTTGACCTCTTCCAACGGTGATAATTGATTTGAGACCTTATCAGTGCTCGGCTGGCGATTTCAGCAGAAAACCTTTGGGGATGATGTTGTTGTCTCTCGCTCTGCACAGGAAACTGAGGTGAGTTTCTTCCTTTGTAAGCTTGACCATGGTCAAGAATTGAAAATGAATAGCTGAAAATAACAATTATATTAACCAAAGTAAACCTGAAATGAAATGATAGTTAAATAAAATACAAGTAAAAATAGAACAATTGAATAAATAAAAATAAAGAAATGAAAAAAGAAAATAAAAATAAAAAGTGGAGAGATTCCAAGTCACGTTAGTTCACGACGTTTCGATTGTTTGTTTTTTTTAGTTGTTTCAGGGATTTCATATCATTTTATATAGTAGACAATGGAAGTCACAAAAACCCTTGTATTTCCATACTTCCGTAAAAAACATAAACATTATTTAATTTTGTGTATTTTTCAGGATCAAGCCATTCGATATTTTTATGAAAGAACTCAAGATAGTGGGAGTACTAACAAATTGTTTTACTTGTCCCAACTCACTCGGACTCATAGAAGCTATGGGCGACAGGTAATCATTGATCCACTTGTATTCAGATTTATTTTCAATGTTATACGAGTCATACATTCACATACATTAACGAAAAAGTAGAATAATACTCTACAGTACACATTCCTAAAGCAGTACTTGTTGCTTCAAATCCCATTCAATCAGCCATCAGACCAACAAAAAATTAAAATTGAGGGATTTTAATTCACTCTTTTTGATTAGAAAAATACACTTCGTCAAGATTTATTGAAAAAATTTCACATTCTGTAAGAACTTAAGCTAATCTTCAATAAAAGATGAGCTATACTAATGTCTCAATTTTAAATTGGCCTATTTTTACTGTTGATCATGACTGACTGTAAAATTGGGGTCAGATCTATTAAAAAGAAATAGTCACTAAACAAGTATTATAATGATGGTTTGGGCGAGCAGTGTTTTTACCAGATGACATAATCTTCCCATGATTAATGGCAAAGTAGATTTTGAATTCCTATTTTGTTATTACAGATACCTAAACTTCAAAAATTTGGGAATAGGAACATTCAGGCTGGATCAATACCAGACGGCCCTAGACCTACTCAAGAAAGGAGCAATCGCAAAGGCCGTTTTCAAGTTTTGAACAAATTTTGTTTTTTATTTCGTTTAAATACTGAATAAATGCGTTACAAGAAACATTGTTACTCATCAATCATGACTCAAATCATCACTTGATTCTGAATCAAGTCGGAAGGGAGTTTTTTTTCTGTTCCCAAGATTAATGAGACCACTTCTTCGATTGACAACTTGTTTATTTTGTGGAAATTCAAGTTCACTGAGTATACACTACAAAAACACACTTTTGTCTATTTTCTACTATNAATATAATCAGTTAGTTTTGAAAATGGTGTAATAGCCGAAACCGGTCAACAATAAAGAAATATAATGGAAAATAGACAAAAGTGTGTTTTTGTAGTGTATCCTCAGTGATTAATGAGGATAATTAATGAGACCCATGAAGGGACGGTGTTAAGCGACGATCGAGGAGATGAAATCAAATGAGAGCTCAAGGACATAACAAAAAGTGCATGTCAAAACTGTTTCGACGATTGGGAAAAACTCTGTCACAAGTGTATTATTATACCTCGTTTGTACTGCATTGATGCTATTTGTTGCAACACCTGTGACTACAACTAGTGCTGAAAGATCATTTTCGAAACTAAAATTAATGAAAACCTTTTTGGAAAACTATGGAACAGAACAGGCTACGTAACTTGGCTATTGTGTCTATTGAAAATTCTTCTGTCCAATCTTCAAACTTCTATAGTGTTATTGATACTTCTGCGAAACAGAAAGCTCAGAGAAAAGAATTTTATTGATAAATATCTTGTTAACATTAAACTATTATTTTATTTTAAATATGTAACACCTATATATGCTTTTGAAAATTAGATATTCGACTAAAATGGACACAATATAACTGTTGGGTAACTATCTCAGTGGTTTATTAAATTTAAATGTCTAAGGGCCCCATCCAATGAATTTGACACCGGCCTCCGATGAGATAACTACAGTATCAGTTATTATATTTATCTAAGCATCATATGCGTACAAAAAATATGTGGCTGTTATAATATCGGTGGTAAATATGGTATGTTTCAACAGTTGTGAAAAAATACAAAATATGTTGTTGAACATCTTGTCGGCACTTCTAGTAACCAGGTGCACCCCACCCCGTAAAGGTTATTTTCCACACTTAGGAACCTAAAAACCTACATACGGAATTCTTGTTGGCAAGAGAGGCTAACTGACAATTCACAGACATGTCATCATCCCAACTGATGATGTTTTAACAGAATTTGCCCATAAATTCTTGATTTTATATTGTGAATTCACTAAACTGGAAATTTGAGGTTTTTAGTTTTGAAAACGAATATGTTTATACAGTTTTTTCAGTGGAGGGCTTCTACATACATTTCCAATGACACTAGGCTCAAAATTGGAAAACTAACTACATACATATCCAAAATCCGCTAAAATGTGGATAAAATTAAAATGCCGGCGGGCTCAGATATCATTCAAATAGACACCAGAACCGAGTTGGTGGTATGCCTACTTTGCTTGCTCAATCGTAGGTAGTCAGAAATTGGTATCAGACAAAATTTTTAGTCAATAGTCTGCTTTTAGGGTAAATTTTCGTTATGTGGACACCCGGCGATTTTGAAAAAATGTTTGACTGTACTTACGTATTTTGATGCGTAGATTACGAATCCAAAAGAAAAAAGCGGCGCTCTCCCTTATTTAAAAAGTTACGACCCTTCCAAGTTCAGAAAAGGGCAACTTTTCAGCCTTCTTTTTCACTAAATAAACTATTTAAAAACACAAGCATTTATTCACTAGGTCACCTTTACACTTTATTCCTCCTTCTTTAACACTTTACCCAACTGCTTATACAGTATTTTATCCACCTTGTAGTGAATATTATTGGCGAAAAGCTCTTCCTAATATCGCTTTGAAATGCTTCTCTCCACAGATATTAGACTCTTCCACAACCAGGAGCAGAGACAACGATGAAAACCAATTCCTTCTTAACGTTGAAGCACTCAACTAACTATAATAAGCCACATTCTTCTCCTACATAACGTTCCTAGTCGAGTTCTCACTTCAGTGCCCTTCCCTATTCTTGTAAATCAAGTAAATAAGTTTACATTACTTCAAATCTTATTGCACAATAGAAAAAAAAGGAACAATTTCGAAAATACCAACACATACACACGACCAGAAGAGAACTTGCTAATCAAAACCCAGATCAGCTGTTCGCTTTTTTTCCCTTTTCTTTTCAAAGAACGAATTCTCCACTTGAACGAGCTGCGAGCAAACGCCGCACGGCTTATCGGCCCAATTTAGTTTTTGAAGTTACGGGGTGGACCATCCAAACCGTAACAACAGTCCTATTCCAGAGTTCAGAGTACTAGATCCTCTTCGCGGAAGAAATACTAAGAGCCAATATCTGTTGACTCACTGAGAGATCAAACACACTTTCAGGTTATGATGCAGGTCTATACAGTCGCAGACCTAGGGTGAAGATATTACCCTGCCTATGCAACTGTATTTCTGATGCACATCCACGCCACTGATTCAATGATTGATGAAATACAACCTCCTACAGCTGTGAAAACACTCAGCTCCCACTGAGCAACTTCCTAAATGTAAGGGAACTGCCTAATTACTCTCCTCACTAGGAATATTCAATGAATTGTCTTCGATCTGAATTTCTGGCTACACTGGTCTGAAAGCGAAGGAATCTGCTGACTCCTTTGCAAGGGAGGGTTCAAGGCTTCTGGCAAGATCTACCAAGATATCAGCCCATTCCGAAGTACATATACATCGTTAGAATATGTTAAAGTTGTTTGTTACAGCAAACTTGTCCATAACAGGCCTTTTTATTTCATAACTGGCAGAGTTTCACTCTTGCCAAATGATCCAAAAAGTCAGTTAAACTAGTCGGTTTTGTCAGAGAACTGGACTTATTTGGTTAACTTGGAATAGGTGTGTGTCACAATAAATCCTCTCAAGTTACAGTGCACGGTTCAATATACCTACTCACTTTGGACCAATCTACCTACCTATCCGCTCAATCAGCACACATAGATCTGCAATCTTCCTAATATTACTAAATATCAATTCGAGGCTTCAACGAAAATTTTCACAGAAAGTCGGACTGTCCTCAAGAACATTGATGAACCCAAGAATAACATTGAGACTACTCTGGGAATAACATGAAAAACTGAAGAAATTGTAGAGGTACAGAAATCTATGGTTATGGAACAGATCTGGAAATAGATCATTGAAAAGCATTAAACTCACTGGCAGCACAGCAAAACCTTTCTCAAGGAATTTTCTGAAGAAAGATCTGATGAATTGCTTCAACAAAGCTGGAATCTACTCGATAATTACAGGACTACTAATTGTACAGCTTGTTAAATCTAGAAAGCGACTTCAAAGTCTCGTCTTAGGACCTCCCTTAAGATGCGCGTTCGTTAGGAGACTGAGAGAGAGAGAGAGAGAGAGAGCTAGATAGAGATAGATAGAGAGGGAGGTAGAATTCTCAAGTCTCTGTACGTCCAAAGGGCACCTGAACAAAATAGACTGTTTGAAGGAGACCTCAACTTTAAGCAATGAAGACCATAATATGGCAAGCCAAAATTACAACAAACTATTCCAGGATTGTTTGGATGTTCCTATGTAAGATACTGTTCTTGAAGGTGATTTTCTGGAAGCATTCATAGTGATCCAGTTGCCAGCATTCTTTCCACTCTCCACTCTTTCTGGATCAGAGATCTGGAAATAGATCATTGAAAAGCATTAAACGTACTACCAGCACAGCAAAACTTTCATCAAGGAATTTTCTGGAGAAAGATCTGATGAAAGAACTGCTCCAACAGAGCAGGAACCTACTCGATAATTACAGGGCTACCAATCGTACAGCTTGTTAAATCTAGAAAGCGACTTCAATGTCTTGGCTTAGGACCTCCCCTATTACGCGCGTACATTAGGAGACTGACAGAGAAAGAGAGGTATAATTTTCAAGTATCATCCTAGTTTTGACAAGCTGTATGTTCAGATGACACCTGAACAAAATACTGTTTGAAGAAGATATCAACTTTAGGCAATGAAGCAATGAAGACCATAATATGGCAAGCCAAAATGACAACAAACTAACACAAGATTGTTGGGATGGGTATCATGGAAAGATGGAAAGCAAAATTCAATAAGCAATATTTTTTAGAAATTTCGAAGGAATCTACAATCTACACATCTACTTGTGCTTGCGGTAGTATAGTTGATGAGAAAGGTACACATGGTTTGAGTTGCAGAAGTGCAGGGCGTACATCTCGACATCACCAAGTGAACGACATATTGAAACGAGCTATGTTGTCATCGGATGTTCCTGCAATTTTGGAACCCTTAGGTACCAGTCGAGATGATGGTGAACGATCAGATGGTATGTCTCTCATACCATGGAAATACGGTAAACCTGTGGTATGGGACTTCACTTGCGTTGACACGGTCGCGGCTTCCCATCTAGCCGAAAGTTTCAAGTCTGCTGGAACTGCAGCATTGTCTGGCGAGAAATTGAAAAGAAAAAAATACCAAAATCTTGGTAACAAGTATCTGTTTCATCCAGCAGTGGTTGAAACTTTTGGTGATTATGGCCCGGAGTCTCTGTTATTCGTTCATGAACTTGGAAGGAGAATAGGCCAAGCAACGAAAGATCACCGTTCTACCTCTTTTTTGATAGAAAGAATTAACCCGGAGCGCCAATAAATTTTTATTGTTGTTTTTATTTTATTTTTATCGTTGTTTTAAGTCCAAAGGATCCCAGGTACTCAGTCAGTAAAAAAAATATGTGAAAAGGTTATTTCTATGTAAGATGCTGTTCTTGAAGGTGATTTTCGGGAAGCATTCTTGCTGATCCAGTCGCCAGCATTCTTTTCACTCTCAAGTCGTGAAAGTTTATTTTACTTTCCAATCAGGAAGATGATCCATGATGGTATTGTTGGTGTTAAATATCGTCTATTTGAAAATCTATCCGTTCTCTTTTATTTATATGTAAAGTTATTCATTCACCTAATGTATTCTCCGCCACTGTTATTAACAATCTAACAATGATTCTTCGAAACGTATTATACAATATAACCTTCAAGCGTCATAGTAAAAGTAACATGCAAGCGATAAACTTCACCGCAAAAACAAAAAAATTGGAATTGGTACAGATTCCAATTCCCAAACTGTCGAATCCTAACCAAATTTTGATAAAAGTGGCATATTCTGGAATTTGTGGAACTGATCTTCACATACTGCAGGTAGTTGCTTTCTTATTGATATATTTATACATATTGAGAAAGAAAGGTTTTGAAATCTCTATATTTGTTCGATCGATGACCTATTTATTTTGTAGAAATTCATATTGAATCTATACTATCTATATCTATACTAATATTATGAATGAGAAAGTTTGTGAGGATGGATAAATGTATGTATTTATGTTTGTGGGTACCTATTGATTGACTGACATTTTTATATTACCGTACAGCCGAAACTACTGAACCTAGAATTTTGAAATATGCAGGTAGGTTCTTTGTATAGCATAAATAAGCATCAAGAAAGGGAATCAGGAATATCCACCCCCAAGGGGGAAAAATATGGATTCAAAGATTGTATTGAAATTTGTTGGTTATCTTGCTGTGCTTATTTCTAAAATGTACCACAAGATGCGTCAAATTGGTACATGGTAAGCTACTGTAGTAAAGAAGGTGTTTCCATTAATAAAAAACCCAATTTTAACGAAAATAATATTAATTACCGTAATGAATCTAAAGTTCCTTTTGATATAACATTGTGTTTCATTGATTTAAGGGCGAATTCCCATGTAACTCAGATAGACCATTTACCTTGGGCCACGAGTTTTCTGGCACAGTTGTTGATGTTGGATCAGATGTCACCATTTTCAAAAAAGGCGACAAAGTTGCAGTAGATCCCAACGCGTGAGAAATGTCTCTTCTTCTACAAGAACATAGTCAAGATCCTTCATGTTTCAGTGGTTGCAGGTCTTGCCAGTTTTGTCACTCTGGACGGCCACATTTCTGCAGAGTTGGGGCAGTCAGGAACACAGTCGGAATATACCAAAATGGAGGCTGGGCAGAGTATGTTTTGGCACCGGTGAATCAAGTACATAAGTTAAGTGATGACATAACTCTGGAACAAGGTAATCTATAGGACATTTCAGAGAAAACTTGATCCCCTGTAACTCAGACTGGTATGGAACTCATATGCCCTCTTGTGAGCAGCAGCTCTACCTTATATTTGCTAGGATTGCTCATGAGGTTACCCTGAATATTACTTACTTACATTATTTTAACACCTCGACACATGTTTCGATCACCAAGTGATCATCTTCAAGATAAAGATCAAACCAGTTTGATCTTTAAAACGATGAGCAGTCACAGTCCGTCGCGTATTTCTGATATGTACCGCTCTTGGGGGAATCAAATATGCTAAGTCACTTGAACGCTTACCGTAAAAGTATCTATAGAAGAAAGACAAATCTGCAACCTTTCTTCGATGGTCTAGGCTATCAAGGTTGCACGTGATGTTTGCGTCTCCAATCAGGCGGATGGCTCTTTTCTGGGTGGAATCAGAGTATGTTTGGGGCCAGAGCACCATACATGAGAACAATACTCCAAAAAAGGTCTGATCTGAGCTTTATGAAGCATCAAAAGCTGCTGAGGTGTGTAGTTTTTTGGTTCGGAACAGTGTTCCAAGTTTTTGAGAAGCAGCCTTTGCAATTCCAGCGACATGATTGTGCCAAGACATATTGGTGTCCATTTCAACACCGAACAAACTTATCGAAGCAGAAAGCGGAATTGTCTGACCTGACATTATTATATCCGGTTCGGAGACATTTATCTTCTTGGAGAAAACCAATGCCTGGGTTTTTGTGGCACTGATCTGAGCCTGGTTGAATTGGGGTGAAATCAATTTAAAAGCACTTCTAGATCCTCATTATGGGGGGGTTACTTGCTGTTCTCAAGTTCCAGGTCTGACTTTCTTCCTAAAATTGGACTCCTCGAAAGAAAAATTATTGTGTTCTTTGATAGCACACACACCAGAACCATCACACTGTTCTTGACCTGTTACCATCATCAAGATTTGAACTGTAGAATGATGAACGCTACTTATCCAGAGGTAATGAAGGGAAGAAGGGTTACACTTATGTCACAAGATTCAGCACACAAAAGAGAATACTATTTTTCATTTCATAACACTCATATCAGAAAAAAATTCTCAATGAAAGCACTTTGCCAAGATACATTCATCAACTGTGACGTAAGGAACATTACTTGATAAGCAAATGTTCCAGATCTTGCAGTAGGCGACGTTAGTGACAGTGCCAATATCACTGATGAAGCAACGTTTAGAATGACAGTTGGCTGTCAAGAAACTTTGTACTGAGGCAATTCAATAAAATTAAATCGAAGAAAAAGTTTCAAATGAACTGTTGGAATACTTAGGTAGATCCCAAGTATTATTATAATTCCAATAACTTGAAGGCTCAGAATATCTGACTTTTCTTGGGTTTGGATTAGACTTGATAAAGCTTGCTTTGAGTTTTCCAATTATTATTTTATTTATGTGAATACTTTCAAGCGGATTCTCTACCAATGCATGAGAATAAGATGTTAAAAGTATATTAACTATATAATTTCCCTTTCAGCTGCCTTAGCAGAACCAATTTCATGTTTGGCGCATGGATGGGATATAATTAGTCCCATTACAGTTGGAATGAGAATTCTTATCACAGGAGCAGGAATTATTGGAAGCCTGTGGATATGTACCCTTCATTTGCAGGGACACAGAAATGTAACAGTATCAGAACCAAATCTAGCCAGACTAGATAATCTGAAAAAACTTAGTAAGTATATAACTAGGTATTTGATTATTTCAAAAGTTTTGTCCGTTTTCATGAGTCTGGTTTTCATGAGTGTTAGGAATCACACGTTAAATGGTAAGACCTCGTTAGTCCTTAGATCGCACTAGTTTTGACTTTTGAAACTTGTCGTTCATAACAAACAAAACTTCCTCTTTCACTTCCAATAATGAATAATTCAAGTATAGTATTTCCAATACCAATTGAAACAGCACAGAGAAGGAATTCCCGCCTCGACATAGGCGTCGGCATATTATTTTTCAGTGGTAGTTTTTCAGTTACTTATTCTTACAATCATAGCAATTGATCACCCCATGAAAAAGTTATCTCAACTGAATTTTTCCACCATGGGTAATTATGAAAAACTTCGAAATTTAAAAACACACGGCACTGGCAAAGAAATATTGTGAAACGGACAAAAAATTAGTATTCAGCCAGTCCAGCTAGCCGAGCCTTTATTCCTCAACTACATGTGATAGCACGTTTACTAACTATCTGGGCGACTAGGAGCCACAGGCAAGAAATGTTTATGACTGTACTCTTATTTTTATTGCCGTTCCAATTGGGAATGGATAGACTATAACAGTTTATTATGAGATAGTGAACACATGTTTTGCTAAACAATAGCTTCCTCAAGAGTGTATTTACTAATTCGAGGAAGCGAAACAAGTCCCGCAGTTTTGTGAACTGTGGGAAAGTTTTTTCAATAAATATTTTATCATAATGGGCATACCGTGAATATATTTTCGTCTAAGGTCAAAGCTATGAATGGTTGAAGCAGTTTTGGAGTGCTGGTGAAGCCTCTTTTTGGAAATTTCAGGAAATTTCAGGTCTAGTATGTTGAAAAGTTACACCACGTATTTACCATTTATATGATAAAACTGACCAAAATCTGATGAAAATCTATTATAACGTATTCAAAAAACACCCTTCAATGTGAAATTTCCACTTGAAAATTTACAAAACCGTGACACGTGTTTCGCTATACTATAGCATCTTCGGGCGTCACAATACTGTAGTAGGAGTATTATGCAGCATGCCCTGAATATTATAACAAAATGGACCGAAGAAAAGGGGCGTAACAAAAGCCCATTCAAATCGATCATAGTAGCATTCACCAAGAGGACTAAAACGGAGGATCTCGGACCTCTAAAACTTTGAGGTGAAGAAATACAAGTGTCGGAGGAGGTTAAATATCTGGGAGTAATCCTAGATTCCAAACTCACCTGGAACCAACAGTTGGACAGGATGAAGAGGAAAGCGGAGGTAGCGCTGCTGCTCGCCAGACGCACCTATGAGAAAACATGGGGGCTCAAACCAGACATGGTATATTGGCTATACATGATGGTGGTTAAACCCATGATAACATACGCATCTCTGGTCTGGTGGCCAAAGATGAAGCAGGCGACCGCCATCAACAAACTAGGCAAGATGTAAAGACTTGCATGTTTGGGAATGACGGGAGCAATGAGAACTACCCCAACAGCTGCATTGGAGACACTCCTGGANTCTGCATTTTTGGCGTCTCGCCTCCACATTCTGTAATCAAGTGAGTTATTCTTACCTGAATCATAAAATTTTATAACGATATGAACCATGAAAATTGAAAGAGATTTCGGAGCAAGTCAACTGTTTTAAATTTCTGTAATTCTAAACTACTTCCTGAAGTGATTCTACATTCCATACATCGTTCTGAAATAAAACGGTTGTTTTTCGAAATATTTTCTATGGTTGAAAGTTTATGATACAGAAAAAATCCAATAACTGATTTCATTGACAAGGTTTTGCTCCATCATTTTTGAAACTATTTATTTATTTCGTCAAAAATGTGGCTGTAAGATACATTATTTGTTTATATGGTTCGAATTATATTTCTTATAACTGCTTCAATAACTTCAATTATAATTAGATTTTGTGCGAGATATCAAGAAGAATATATGAATATCTATCATTAATTTCAGGGTGAAACCATTTGACATCTATTTCAAAGAAATAAAAATATTTGGAGTACTTGTAAATCCGTTCAGTTTTCCAAAATCACTGGGACTTTTGGAAGCTATGGGTGAGAGGTAATAGTTTTAAACTACTTCCTTTTATAGTCAGTAACCAAAACTTTTTTTTCTAGGTACTTAAATTACGAAAATTTGGGAGTCAAGACATTTTCCCTAATAGAATATGAGGAAGCAATAAATTCACTCAAGAAAGGAACGGTAGCAAAAGCAATTTTCAAGTTATGATTAAAAACTGTTTATTTTGATCCTAAATATACATTCTCAATTGATTGAATCTATCAAATTTCATTTGTCCAAGTGAATGACAATGATTGAAAAAACTTCATTTCTTACAATGATAAGAACCAGACCATTTCCGAAGACTAAATAATTTAAATTTGCATAGATGCTTCTACAAAAAATCACAGGTTTGATTTGATATCATGATTATGACAGTACTAAGACCCCAACCCTACTGAGACAGTTCCAACTGAACAAGTAAATTAAATAAAACTTGCCAATAGAATGGAAAAACACAAGAGACTGAAATGAATTGCCACACTTCACTAATTCACATAACCTCACGCAAAGGGAACAACTCTTCAATAACAACTTCTTGAACACCAACACTGTATATATAATATCCAGAAATGTCAAGATCATAATCGAAACTTCGTAAAATAAGACATTTTCAATTCGAATGAAAAAGTTATTCTGAGTTACAATATAATCTAAAAGAATACGCGACGTATTGTTGATATATCTAGCTAGCCGCATCGAGTAGGTCTGCTATTGTTTACAAATACGAGTTTAGTCATTTACGTACTATGTTCATATATTTGATTGCGCAAAAGTTGTGTGTTTTCCATGAATGTGTTAAAACAGTGAGGTTATGAAATACAAATATTTCAGAAACTGGATTTACTCTGCTGAAACTTGAAGAACTTGAATAGAAGCGCACCACTTTTTCAACGTTATCATAGACTAGTTGTTGACCGCGGCTTCGCCCGCATAGAATTATGGTTTGTCACATAAGTTTCGTGGCAGACCATTTCAAACAAATAGTTACAATATTTTTTATTAACCCTGAATTTCAGGTTTCCAACTTCAAAACTGACGAAATTCAATACAATCTTTAAACCCCTATTTTCCCCCCTTGGTGGTGAAAATTCCTGATTCCCTTTATTGATGCACATTTACGCTATACAAACAACCTTCCTGTATATTTCAAGATTCTAGGTTCAGTAGCTTCGGCTGTACGTTAATATAAGAGCGGGCAACAGCTAGTAATTTATATTTTTACTTGAAAAATACAGTAATTGAAAAAATATGCCAACTGCACTAAGGAATGAATAGCTTTGAGAGTAGAATTACGTCACTTATAGAGACATTTCGCGAAAGTAACAAAAACATCAACGACGTTTGCCCTCACGCGTTCTCGGCGATGGCGCTTCATTGCTTAGAACGTTCCTCTAACCCCTGCGCATCGTTCCCCGTCGTCTTACAGTAAACGCGACGCAAATGGCGTTGCGACAAGTTAATCTTATCGTGATAACTTTTGAATGATTCTTCCAAATTACGTAGTGTAAAAGACAAAGTTTATTTAAGTATATTAAATACTTGAAACGACAATTGTATCAATTGTTATCAGACTGTGTGCATTGTAAAAAAGTATCCAATTCAATTGTATTTATGGCTCAGTATTTTGCATATAGTGGCTACCACATAAGAGACACATATATGTTATCGCGGAATTTCATTTAGAACTATTTAGAAACAATCTTACGGTACATTATCTGCATGGTACTCCAACGGTATAAGCAACACACACCAAGATAGCTATAAGGCTGCTTAATATTATATAGTGTGCGGAAGCTATTGTGCGGAAGCTATTGTATCAATGTTCATTGCCTTTTTTAAAAAAATTGAAATTATCCCCGTCTTTTTGCAATAGCATAAGAAATTCAAAAACACAAGGATAATTTCAATAAAAAAGAAAAGGCAATGAACATTATTGAAATCTGGCTACCTGTCTTTGGAAATATACGAACAAGGTCAGGTAATCCAATCAAGAGGAACCAAGCCACTTTGGAACAGGAACAACAACTCGAGTACCAACTTGGGTACTGCGACTGTTACCAAATCACCTTTGATAATGTCTACCGCAGTAGTAGACGAAACGTCAGTCATGAAAACCTACGGAACACGGCTTAAAAACCATGAAAATAACTTTCACACAGTTATCTCTGTTGTTTTCGTTTCAATTATGATTCTTATATAGTAATGTCCATGTCTCTCTCTCTCTCTCTTTCCCTCTCTCCCCCCATCTATATCCCTCCGCCTTTATATATATCCCTCCCTCTCTATTCCTCTCTCTTCATCTCTCTCTCTATTCCTCTCTCTTCCTCTCTCTTCCTCTCTCTCTCTCTTCTTCTCTCTTCCTATCTCTTCCTCTCTGTCTCTCCCTCTCTCTCTTTTCCTCTCTGCCTCTCTCCCTGTTTCCCTCTCAGTCTCTCCCTCTCCCTCTCCCTCTCTTCTCTCTCTCTCTCTCTCTCTCTCTCTCGGTGAGATTTAGTAAGATGTGGAGAAACTCGTTTCCTCACTTGATATCCATCTAATAATTCTCAAATAACTACTTTTATATTCATGCATAATTATGTATGATTTTTATTACACCGATTCCGTGGGCACGCCTGACTTATTTTCTGTAATAATAATAATAATAACAACTTGAATTGAAAGGTTGACGTGAGCTTTCCAATCTCACGCTCCCTTCAAATGAAGTGAATTGAGATTTTGCTGACCCTCCATCTACATTAACGAACAATGGATTACATATCATCGAAGTTGTGAATTTTGTTATATAACAGTCAGTTATTGCTATTGAAAAAACTTTTCCTGAACAACATTTCCTGTGACGAAACTCAACAACTTTTTCTGAGTAGGGAAATTTTCCATGCGTTGATAGCGAACCACTAACATTGGGACATGAATTTTCTGGAAATGTTTTCGAAGTTGGAACGGGTGTTACGAATTTGAAGAAAGGAGACAACGTAGTTGTAGACCCCAACAAGTAAGTTCTGATACATACTTGTGAATAAACAAAAAATCCAGTTTAGAAAGAAAAAAATATCTCCAAAATACTTCCAAAAAATGTATCTCCAATTCCGAACATTCGAAGTTTTTTATGTACATTTAGAAGAGATTCAATTCCAAAATGAATAAAATTTTCATTCTAATCCTGTTTTTGAGCACATTCAATTCATCTCAGTTGATGGTGCAAAATGAAATCGAAATCATATTGAATAATCTTTCAGCTCATGTAAGTGTTGCAAATTTTGCCAATCCGGTAGACCACAGTTCTGTACAGGAACCAATGAAAACCTTGGAACCTTCAGAAATGGTGCTTTTGCTGAGTATATCCTAGTTCCAGTGCATATGGTACATAAATTACCAGATATTATTACACTTCAACAAGGTAAGAAGTTCGTATGGATGGAGCCGATAATAGTACCATTCTTATGAATATTAGTTTACAGCAATCTTCATATACCATATCAAAAATAGAACTCACAATGCGTTTTTGCGCTATAAATATCCTAATGAAGTCTTTGCCACAACTCAAAGGCCTTATGTTAAGCGCAATATGGAAATAAACCAATGTTCACTATCGATGAGCGAATTAGAGCTTACTGATTCATCCAAAATTGCTCCCAACTTCATGTGACATATCAGTATTATCGCCATGAGCTTTTTTGCCCAAGACAACCTTACTTCTGAGTTGAAATTTTAACAATACCGTCTCTGAAGTACTCTAACCCTCATTATCAAACTATCTATCAAAGGTCCTGTGACTTTGGGTGTCATCATTAGACATAGATAAATAGCAATCCCTCGCATTGACGAAGATTACAAATAATAGAGGACCAAGAACAGAACCTGGAAGAACCTCCACCCTGCTTTTATTGCTTCACATATATGCTACGACCATTTAAGTATGATTTAAACCACAGTAGCATGTTGTTTGGTAGACCCAGCACATTCAATTCGGTCCAAAGCTATCCAAATTGAACGATATCAAATGTTTTCGACAGTTTTGAAAACACACTGATAACAAAATCATTTCTATCAAGTTTCAAAAGAATCTCTTATTCGCAGTAGGTACCTATTTTACTTTTGATCAAAATGAATCAAAACTAGCAGTGAATTGGCACAGCACTAAAGTTTCCAGGTCTTGCTCCTGAGGTCCTGAGTTCAAATCCGCCTTTAACAAAATATTTCTCTCGCGAAAATTCATCTGGTTGAAGGTAGATTGATTTGGCTATACTATTTGACTGAGAGAATTGCAAACAGCCATGATGCTCCTCATGTGAATCAGGGATTTATTCATTCATTCGGGGTCGTCTTGCATCCATAAACCGGTACCAATGAGATCTGAAACATCGCTATTTGGTATAGGATATGGATGCAACGCTTTTAGGCTCCGGGTACATCTCATATTCCCAAGTTGAAAAGTTTCAAAAAAACCTGTAACTCACGTTGAAACCAAATATGTCACAAAGCAATCAAGTGGACTAAGTCAGACGAACACTTCTCAACCTTTCTTCAATGTATTTGGGTTCCAAATAAGAAGAAACTTGTTTTCGGATCGAAACCAGAAAAAGCGTGGTATGCTTGGAAAAACGAAGAACCTTAACATTGAAATTCGCTAAGGTATGCACAGTTTCCTGGTTTGAAACAGTGTTGCAAGTGTCTGGGGAGCCGATTTCAGCTATGTATGCTTCAGGCGTCTGGGGACGAGCGGCGAAATATAATATCTCCATTCTGGAGGTATTGCAAAATAAGCTAATGAGGATGATTGTGAATGCTTCTTGGTTCGTGCGGAAAGAAGCCATCCATCCGTTAGTTAGGAAAGCTATATATTATGCTGTAGACGACCCCTTCTGATATGAAAGGCCCCGACACTCTGTCGAATGAGGCCCCTATGTCTTCCGTTAAAAAGATGAATGACACATCTCAGTCATGAAACCATTTGTCCTTCGACAAAAATCAGTTCAAAGGGTAAGGGAGCTGGGCTCTAACCTAAACAAAATCAAGACGACGTGCAGACCTGTTGAGTCATTTTCCTTCAACTCTGTTCTCGAGCATAACGATATCATCGAAGAGAAGATTTTTGAATTTTCTATGATTTATGAAAAAAAACATTCGCTTTACATAATTTGCTTATATCGAACGCCTTCATCAAATACTGACATTTTCATTAATAAGTTAGAGTGCCTTCTCTTGAATATTCCTATCAAATCTAATATTATTCTCACAGGTGACCTAAACATTAATTTTGATAATCCATCTCCACCTACTCAAAAACTCTCTAACTTATTTGATTCTTTTAACCTCACGATGCACGTTACATCTCCTACTAGGATAACCAGTTATTCTTCATCATTAATTGATTATTTCTGTAGCACATTCGATGAAAATGATATAACATGTTCTGTCTTGTCATCCGATCTCTCAGATCACGACGCGATTTCAAGTACAGTGAATCTGAATACTTTTCAAGATAAAAGAAAATTCAAATGGGGGAAGTTGTACAGTAGGAAAAATTATCGCAAGTTCTTTTACTTATGCTCCAACTTTGACTNTTTTCCTTATTAATTCTAGAAACGTCTTATCTGGTACATAAAAATAAAAGTTCCTTCCAAAATGAAAAAAGTCACTGTACTAGACAAGCACATCATCTCAAGTTGCCCATTCCAACATCCACCCTAGTTAAAGATTCTATTGCGTTCACGGGAATAAAAATATATAATAAGCTGCCAGCTACCCTGACTAATAGTGTGAATCAAGCGAAATTCAGGAGGGACTTGAAGGTTATCCTAGCAAGGAAAGGGTATTACTCGCTTGAAGAGTTTTTTGAGGATCGTCTAGAGTTTTGAGGAGTGTGTTTTTTATTGCCTCATTCATCGTTTTTTTTATATTATTATATACATTCCCAACTAACTGCTATATTTTAACTTTTATTTATCATATGATAATTTCACAAAAAAACTGTTTTCAATTAACAATCTCACTCTATGTGAAGTTATTTTAGTTGTATAAATCTTAGATTTTAAGCCCTAATTTGTTTATCTACAAGATTGTTCAATCTTTCAGATAATAAATGTATATCTCTCTCTATGGTTAAATCGACAGCAACTAACAATGCGTCTTCTATAATCAGGGCCGACATATTACAAACATTGAGCATCAAAGAATTTGCAGAATGAATTTTCTGGTGTAAATCATAGTGTTGTAAGCATCCTATTTCAACTGTATGTGGTACACAGAAGGTTTGGGTAATAAGACAGGCATAATAATAAAAATTTTGGGCATTCAAAGATTTGATCTCATGACTCAGTTGTTAGGTCGATTATGGGTCAACTAAAAACTCAATCAATCGTTAAATATGAGTAAAGGTCTCCTTGAAGCAATGTGTTGCAGAGCCAAACGTCAATATGAACAGTCATTTCGAAAATAGCTTTATGCTTTTCTGCCTCCAGCCTCAACTTGACTAGACAGCTGATCCATTCATCTCATCGATTAAAATAATCCATCTCAGTGTTTCATCTGGAAGTGAAACATGTAACTTTGAAGATGGTGTTTTGAATAACTGTCAGCTTAATATCTTCAATGGTGATCAGCTTCACAAGCTCAACTATCACAATATCAGTATACCACAAAAACATTGGTCCACTTACAATCAGTCTATAAACCGGAAATATATCACTATTTAGATGCGTACTTCTTTCCAGGTGCTTTGGCAGAACCATTATCATGTATATCTCACGGTTGGGATATTATAAGTCCAGTATCAGTAGGATCGAGAGTGCTCATTGTTGGAGCTGGTATAATCGGAATTTTATGGGCTTCCCTTTTCCATTCACAAAGACACCGTCATGTTACCGTCTGTGAACCCAACGAGGCCAGGAGGGCTATTCTGGAAAACTTGAGTAGGTAGAGCATAATATATATTCATCATTTCCAGTTGTAACGAAATTACTTGTTTTCCTTCATTCAAGCAACACAATTGGTAGCAACAAAATATATTAATGTATTGCAGCAATGGATTGCAGCAAGTTGCAAAACAATAGGGTTATTGTTTTCACCGATTGTTTTGTCAAACACTCTCGGTACAATTGAAAAAAAAACCCAAATGATTGAATAACGTTCATAAATGGTGATAAATGGGGCAAGAATCGAAACCTACAACATTGGTTGCATCTAGGATACAAAAACTAAAAGCGCTGTGCTAAATACAGCATTGAAGGACTCATTGCGGTACCATCAATGACAGCCTTCTGCATCTGTCCGGCAAAGATTTCTGCCTTAGTGCGGCAAGCCGGTATGATTTTAAGATTTGAGAGTAGAGAGGGCACCATTCCACCAAGGACTCCAATAATCAGAACAACCATCTTGACAGAGTGGTCTGGATAGAGTTTGCGGAGTTCGAAGTGATAATCTCGATATTTATCCGTTTTTCCTCCTCTTTTCGGACGATATTCGTCTCGCCAGGAGCTGAAAACTCCACGACAAATATCGTCTTGCTCTGGTGGTCGAGACGGACTGTTTAAAATCTGTTTTTGCCGTTAACCAGCTGTCGCACCCCTACGACCCCTACAACCCTCAGAAGTATAAACTTGTGCGAGCTAAGGATTAACGAGGTCTTCTTTTAACGTTTGATTTCTAACACGGGTTGGACGATAGCAAGTGAAAATCGATAGTTCATACTAGGGATTGAACCACCGACGAACACGGCAGTCAATTCTCCAATGAATTCGGCACTCCTTGTTCCCCACAACGGATTCAATATTCCCCGGAGCGTAGGGCAACACCGGTGTCTCGTCTATACCGTAAGAGTGCCGTAGATGGTAATATAGCACTTTAAGGGCCGCGGTATGTCAATGGATATAGGCCGAGACCGCATATGCTGGACATACTGATAGCAAGTGCATTAGGGTCTCGGGCGCCTCGCGGCAGTTATATCTGCTGAGAATATTTCGCTCATTAGTTATATCCTATCCTTGATTGGAACCATCATGTATAAGGATACAACGTCGAAGCTCAACTGGTATGTCTCCAGAACCTAACTTCATATCTCCACTCTTTTCGATAAAGTGTCTGGCGTCCTCAGTGAATAACTGGATTTCCTATAAATGGCTGCAGTAGGGTTTTCCAGGTATTTGGCTAGCTCATAGGTTGGTGAACCTAGTGACACATTCTCTTTATGGGTTCTTGTTAAGCCATATAGACGTGGTGGAAAGTCTTCGGATTTTTGTATGACCTTTTCTATGCTCTCTCCACGACTTGATGAGCGGATAAAAACATTCATTATTCTCAAAATCCTGGAGGTGGGGTCCCGACTCAGTCTTTTGTCCCTGTCCCTGTGGATCGAGTAAGGCGACAATTTCCTCATTATAATCCTTGGTGTTCATCACGACGGTGGCATTTCTTTCGTCAGCAGGCAATACCAAGAAATTCGCATCTGTATTGAGATTTTTCAGCGTCTCTCGTTCCCGTCGTGTTGTGTTGGTCTTGGGTGGTTTTGGCCGCATTGAAATCCTCGACGTTTCTATGCGGATTTCCTCAGCAATGAAGTTAGGTAAAGTACGAAAACCTGATCCGACATTGGCAATGATATCCTCGTGGGGTACCTTGACTAGAGCTATAGCGTAGTTTCCACCTTTAGCGAGTTTACCACACGCGTCTCCTTACAGTGTCCAATCGGAAAAGTTGACCACTGGTTGTCTGTTGTACTGAGGTACAGGATTTTTCTGGTTCTTCTGTCCTTTGCTGATGATTAGTCTTGTGGTTTCCATCGTGGGACAGTCAATTTTGTCCCAATTACTTTAGTGCATCGAATTACCAAGTTTGATAGTGAGGTGCGGCCGTTCCACGTCGATGAGGGCTACCCCCTTTCTGTTCTGATGGATCCTTTCTCGTAATAAAGCTTTCTCACTACGTTTGTAGATTCTATTGGCATATGGAAATTCCTTTTTGTCCGAAGGCATTGCGAGATCACATCGGTGACTCGACACCGTAATAGAAATGTCAGTGAACACAACGTGTGTGCTATTTTCGAGGATGTTTGGCCCTGGTCTGCTGATCTGGAAAAAAGCTGACTCACAATTCGATTCTTGTTTTGAAATTTCCAATTAGTCACATTGCAGTGTCAAATTGTCGTCATACTTATACTAGACGGTCTCATTTCAGATTCAGGTGAAGTATCACAAGCTTTTGTTGACTACTTTGCTTGTGCAGCAGAAGTTGTTATGACAAACCATTCTGGCCAAAACATGTCCCTTCCTTCTACCAATTGTTATTATTGACACGAGTATTCCATACCTGTGATGCACTGTTTGGAACTTTCGGTGTAATAAAGAATATTACTGGAGTTTTTTCTCTACATCAAACCGTTATTTTAATACCTCGACACATGTTTTGATAACCAAGTGATCATCTTCAAGAGGAAAATCAATAGAATCTACAAGTTTGATCTTCCTTTGAAGATGATCACCAAGTGATCATCTTCAAGATGAAGATCAGTAGAAGTTCGATCTTCCTCTTGAAGATGATCACTTGGTGATCGAAACATGTGTCGAGGTGTTGAAATAACAATTTAGTGTTGGGAAAAACTCCAGTAATATTCAGGAGTATTCCAGTTTATACTTGTGGGTATGATTTCGAGCAGTTGGTCCTTCCTTACTATGGCAATCATATAGTGTCACAGTTCTTTTTTGTTCATGACAATTAAACTGTGTTTCAGTCACGTATGTAGATGAACTT